ATTGAAGCAAAATTATCTAATTCTCAAATTATAGATGTAACAAAATTAACGAATAATGGAAGAGTAATTTTTGGTTCTACTATTACAATTTTAAATATGAAAAATAAAGAAAAATTTACTTATCAAATTGTTGGTGATGATGAATCTGATTTTAAAAAAAATTTAATTTCTATTAATTCTCCAATAGCAAGAGGTTTAATTGGAAAAAGAAATGATGCTATTGTAACTATATCTACACCAGGTGGTGAAGTCGAATATAAAATTCTAAAGATCGATTATATATAGTTGGTTTTATTATAACTTAAAAGTGTGTTTTTCAAATAAATTTTACAATTATAATAATATGATTTCTCGAAAAAAATCAAAAAGTTCTAATCGTTGGTTATTAGAACATTTTCAAGATCAATATGTTCAGAAAGCAAGAGAAAATAAAATACGTTCAAGGGCTTGGTTTAAATTAGAAGAACTAGATCAAACTAATAAAATATTTAAAACTGGGATGAATGTAATTGATTTAGGTGCAGCTCCTGGAAGCTGGTCACAATATGCAATTCAGAAAATAGGTAAAACAGGACGTATCATAGCTTGTGACATCTTGCCTATTAAACCAATCATAGGTGTTGATTTTTTTCAAGGAGATTTTCGTGATCAACATGTATTAAATCTCATGTTAAATTCTTTAAATAGTACTAAATTTCATTTAGTTATGTCAGATATGGCTCCTAATATAACAGGAAATTTTTCTATTGATATGCCACGAATTATTGATTTATCTAAATTAGCATTAAAAATATCAAATTATGTTTTATCTAAAAATGGTATTTTGTTATTGAAATCATTTCAAGGAGAAGGTTTTAATGAATTTTATAAAAAAATTAAAATATTATTTACACAAGTTAAAATTTGTAAACCTAAAACTTCTCGATCAAGATCTCGAGAAATATTCATTTTAGCAACCAGATAAACATTATAGTAGTCTGTGTTATTTTTAAATATTATAGATCCAATGAGAGGTTGTTCCCTTGAGTGACATGGTTAAAAACCTGATCTTCTGGTTAGTTATCACAGTGGTATTAATGTCTATTTTTCAAAATTTTAACACTAGTGATGTAAACAATCATAGAGTTGATTATTCCACTTTTTTATCAGAAGTTAACCAAGATCAAATTCGTGAAACATACATTAACGGACGTATGATCAGTGTTACTAAAAAAGATAGCAGTAAATACATCACCTATATTCCTGTAAATGATCCTAAACTGTTAGACAATCTTTTGACAAAAAACGTTAAAATTATCGGTGCAGTTCCTGAGGAACCCAGTCTTCTTATTTCTATATTTATTTCTTGGTTTCCTATGTTACTCTTAATTGGGGTATGGATTTTTTTTATGAGACAAATGCAAATGGGTGGTGGAAAAGGTGCAATGTCATTTGGTAAAAGTAAAGCACGTATGCTATCAGAAGATCAAATTCAAACTACTTTTGCAGACGTTGCAGGATGTGACGAAGCAAAAGAAGAAGTAAGTGAATTAGTTGAATATCTTAAGGAGCCTAGTCGTTTTCAAAAATTAGGAGGAAAAATTCCAAAAGGTGTATTAATGGTTGGTCCACCTGGCACTGGTAAAACATTACTTGCAAAAGCAATAGCTGGAGAAGCTAAAGTGCCTTTTTTCACAATTTCTGGTTCTGATTTTGTCGAAATGTTTGTTGGAGTAGGTGCTTCTAGAGTAAGAGACATGTTTGAACATTCAAGAAAATCTGCACCGTGTATAATATTTATTGATGAAATTGATGCAGTAGGTCGTCAAAGAGGAGCTGGACTAGGTGGTGGACATGACGAAAGAGAACAAACACTTAATCAAATGTTAGTAGAAATGGATGGTTTCGATGGAAATGAAGGTATTATTTTAATAGCTGCTACTAATAGACCAGATGTTTTAGATCCTGCTTTATTACGTCCGGGTCGATTTGATCGTCAAGTTATTGTAGCACTTCCTGATATTCGTGGACGAGAACAAATTTTAAAAGTACATATGAGAAAAGTGCCTTTATCAAAAGATGTAGATCCTATGATTATCGCGCGTGGTACACCTGGTTTTTCAGGTGCAGATTTAGCTAATTTAGTGAATGAAGCTGCTCTTTTTGCTGCTAGACTTAATAATCGTGTTGTGTCTATGCTAGAATTTGAACGAGCAAAAGATAAAATGATGATGGGTTCAGAGCGTAAATCAATGGTGATGAGTGATTTTCAAAAAGAATCTACTGCATATCATGAAGCTGGTCATGTGATTATTGGAAGATTAGTACCTGATCATGATCCTGCGCATAAAGTTACAATTATTCCTAGAGGAAGAGCTTTAGGTGTTACATTTTTTTTACCAGAATCTGATACATTAAGTATCAGTCGTCAGAAACTAGAAAGTCAAATATCGACTTTATATGGTGGTCGTCTAGCAGAAGAAATTATTTATGGTCCTAAAAATGTTTCTACTGGTGCTTGTAATGATATTAAAGTTGCTACTAATTTAGCACGAAATATGGTAACTCAATGGGGTTTCTCAGATAAGTTAGGACCTTTATTATATGCTGAAGAAGAAGAAGAAGTATTTTTGGGTCGTTCGGTAGCTAAAGCAAAACATATGTCTGATGAAACAGCTAGAATTATTGATGAAGAAGTTAAATTATTAATTGAAGCTAATTATAGTAGAGCTCGAAATATTTTAAATGCAAACATTGATGTATTACATGCTATGAAAGATGCTTTAATTAAATATGAAACTATTGATGCTTTTCAAATTGATGACTTAATGGAAAGACGAGAAGTACGAAAACCGAAGGGGTGGGTAGAAACAGATATAAAAAAATAATTTATTCTGTGTAAAATTAATTAATTTAATATGTATTAAAATAAGATGAAGTAATAAAAAAATTATAACTTCATCTTATTTTTTAATGGAAGATAAAAGTTATGATATTTATTACAAATTTAATTATTTTAAAATAGTACAGGAATAAAATTATTATGCATGATTTGCAATATTTTAAAACAGATGGCATCCGTGGTAAAGTAGGTAAAAAACCTATAACACCAGAGTTTTTTTTAAAATTAGGATGGTCTATTGGAACAGTTTTAGGTAAAAATAAAACAAAAAAAATTATTATAGGAAGAGATACTCGTATTTCTGGTACTATGTTACAGTCTGCTTTAGAGTATGGGATTTTATCAACAGGAACATCTACTTTATTAGCTGATTGTGTTCCTACTTCAGCAATTGCATATTTTACAAGATTTTTAAATGCATCAGCGGGTATTGTAATTTCAGGTTCTCATAATCTTTTTGACGATAATGGAATAAAAGTTTTCTATAAACATGGGATTAAATTAGACAAAGAAATTGAGTGTTCTATTGAAAAAAATATTAAAAAAAATGTTTTTTTTTCTAATTTTATTCATTTTGGCCTTTCTCATCAAATGATTGATGCTGAAAAAAAATATATTAATTTTTGTATAAATACTTTTCCTAAAAATTTAAATTTATCTAAACTGACTATTGTTTTAGATTGTGCTAATGGTGCTACTTATCGTGTAGCACCTAAAATTTTTAGAAATTTAGGTGCAAAAATAATTAATTTTTCAATTAATCCTAATGGAGTAAATATTAATAAAAATTCAGGATCTACGAATGTTTTAAAATTAAAAAAAAAAGTTTTATTAGAAAAAGCAGATATAGGTTTGGCATTTGATGGAGATGGAGATCGTGTGATTATGATCGATCATTTAGGTCATGAAATAGATGGCGATCAAATTATTTATATTATTGCGAAAGAATATTTAAAAAATAGAATGTTAAATGGTGGTGTCGTAGGTACGTTAATGACTAATATGGGAGTAGTTTTAAGTTTAAAAAAACTTGGGATTCCTTTTTTCGCTGCACCAATAGGAGATAGTAATGTATATAGAAAAATTCAAGAAAAAAAATGGATACTCGGAGCAGAAAAATCAGGTCATGTTATATTATCAGATAAACATTCTACAGGTGATGGTATCATAGCAAGTTTACAAGTTTTATTAAGTATGATTAATAATAATAAAACTTTGTATCAATTATCTAAAGAAGTAAAATTATTTCCTCAAATATTATTAAATGTTTTTTCTAAAAAAGAGATAAATTTAGCAGAAGATTTAACTATACAAAACATTCTTGCTAAATCTAAATCCATTTTAGGTCAAAATAGTCGTATTTTACTTCGTAAATCAGGTACAGAATCTTGTATTCGCATTATGGTGGAAGGTAAAAATTTTTTAAAGGTTCATAAATTAGCACATGATATTGCAAAAACTATTGAATTACTTTAATTTATATTTTCTATATTAAGTATTCTTTTCCAAACCTATTATAAAATAAATTATTTTTATTAAAAAAATATAAGTGGTCATAATACATCGATGTTATAGTAATAAAATTAGATGATATTATTTTGAATAATTTTATTTCTTTTACTATTAAATAGATAATTTATATCTAAATAATTTATATATAAATTATTTATGAAAAAATAGATTATAAATAGTTCATATTTTATAAAAAAAGGAAATAATTTTTTATGTATTTATTTTTTTTATTTTTTTTTATTTTCATTTCTATTTTTTTAATTTTTTTTATTTTATTACAGCCAAGAAAAGGATTTAATAATACGTTGAATTTTAATAGTAAAAATAATATTAAATTCTTCAGTGGCATTGGAACTAATAATTTTGTAACTAATATTATTGGAATTTTTTCCTTTTTGTTTCTACTGATTAGTATTATTTTATGTAATATTAATAATAGAAAAATGGAACCAGATTTTTTATGGGAAGATCATACAAAAAATATTATAGCAAAAAAACCTATATTAGATAAAAAATTGTTTCATTCTGATATACCGCATTAATTTTTTATCATTCTTATATTAATTGTATATTAAGTTAATTGTGATTTTAAGAATAAATATAATATACCGAGGTGGTGAAACTGGTAGACACGCTATCTTGAGGGGATAGTGCCAAATAGGCATATGGGTTCAATTCCCATCCTCGGTACTATTTTTTTATTTAAAAGATTTAGATTTATCATCATTACTATATATATAGGGTAATATTGCCTAAAACCCCGAATTTTCGGGGTTTTTTATTAGAAAATTTATTTTAATTTATGTAAAATTAATATTTCTTAAAATATTAAATAATTAATTATTTAATTTAAAAATTAATTTTTTGTAATGAATACATACAAAATAAGCTATTTATTGTTCATTTCAAAAATTTTTATTTTAAGGTACTCTAAGATGAATAAAGAAATCTTAGCTGTCGTAGAAGCTGTTTCTAATGAAAAGTCTCTCCCTCGTGAAAAAATTTTTGAAGCATTAGAAATCGCCTTAGCAACAGCCACTAAGAAAAAACATGAACAAGAAATTGATATTAGAGTTAGTATAAATCGAAAAACTGGAAATTTTACTACTTTTAGACGTTGGATGGTAGTGGATACAGTGACTCAACCCACTAGAGAAATTACTTTAGAAGCAGCTTGTTTTGAAGGTGAAAAAGTTCAGATTAACGATTATATAGAAGATCAGATAGAATCTGTAAATTTTGATAGAATAACTACTCAAACTGCAAAACAAGTAATTGTACAAAAAGTACGAGAAGCAGAAAGAGCAATGTTAGTTAATCAATTTCGAAAATATATTGGTCAGATAATTACTGGCATAGTTAAGAAAATTCATCGAGATAATTTAACTTTAGATTTAGGCAATAATGCTGAAGCATTAATTTTACGTGAAGGTATGTTGCCGAGAGAAAACTTTCGTCCTGGTGATCGTATTCGCGGGATTCTATACGGTGTATATCCTGAATCTCGTGGCGCTCAGTTATTTATTAGTCGCTCTAAAACAGAAATGTTAATTGAGTTATTCAGGATAGAAGTTCCTGAAATTGGAGAAGAAGTCATTGAAATTAAAGCAGCTGCCCGTGATCCAGGTTCTCGAGCAAAAATTGCAGTAAAAACTAATGATAAGCGCATTGATCCAGTAGGTGCATGTGTAGGAATGAGAGGAGCTCGTGTACAAGCAGTATCAAGCGAATTATGTGGTGAACGAATTGATATTATTTTATGGGATGATAATCCTGCTCAGTTTGTTATTAACGCAATGGCTCCAGCAGATGTAGCTTCTATTGTAGTAGATGAAGATCATCACACTATGGATATAGCTGTAGAATCCGGAAATTTAGCACAAGCTATCGGTCGAAATGGGCAGAACGTTCGTTTGGCTTCTCAAATCAGTGGTTGGGAATTAAATGTCATGACTACAGAAGATCTGCATTCTAAACATCAAGAAGAAGCTCATGCAGCTTTTAATACTTTTAAAAAAAATTTAAATATTAGCGAAAAAATTATAAAAATTTTAGTAAAAGAAGGTTTTTCTTCTCTTGAAGAATTAGCTTATATACCATTTAATGAATTATTAGAAATTAATGATTTAAGTAAAGAAGAAGCAAAAATAGTACGTGAAGGTGCAAAAAATAGATTACGTATCATAGAATCAGAAAAAAAAAATAGAATTAAAGATAAAAAAACAGAAAAAGATTTACTAAATATAAATGGTATGAATACAGTATTGGCTTTGCAATTAGCTGAAAAAAATATATTTACTTTAGCAGAATTAGCTGATCAAGGAATAGATGATTTAACTGATATTAAGAGTCTCAATTCTGAACAAGCTGGTTTATTAATTATGACTGCTCGTAATATCTGTTGGTTCGGTGGTAAAGTTTAATAATAGGAAGAAAAGGTATGACAGATATAAGTTTAAAATTTTTATCTAATGAAATAAAAATATCAATCAAAGAGTTGATAAAAGAATTATCTGATATCGGTATAGTAAAAAATGAAAAGGATCAAATTAATTTAATTGAAAAAAATAATTTATTAAAACATTTAGAATCTAAAAAAAAATCTTCTTTAGATACTTTAATTTTACAAAGGAAAACACGCAGTACTTTAAGCGTATCTACTACTAGTGGAAAAAATAAATCTATACAAGTAGAAGTACGTAAGAAAAGAACTTACATAAAAAATAATAAATTTGAAGCTGACTTTTCATCGAATATAACAAGTACTAATAAAATTCTAATAAAACAAGAGTATTCTTTAAAAAATTTACAAAAAAATAATATAAATACGTCTATAGAAAAAAATACTATAGACAAAAAACGTAAAAAAAATATTGAAAAATTAGATTTTAATAAAACAAATGTTGAATTTTTTAACTTTAAAAAAATTAATAAAGTAAAAAATTCTAAAATCTTAAATAAAGAAGAAAAAGACAAAAAAATAAAAAAAAATATAGAAAAAAATTTTATTGATATTAATGAAAAAAAAAGAACAAAAGAAAATATAGATACTAGAAAATCTTATAAAGAAGAAAAAAAAGATTATCATTTAACAACGTTTTTACATGCTCGACAAGCTGAAGATGATAATGATAGAGATATCGAAACTGATAAAAGAAATCATAACCGAGTTTTAAAAAATCATCGTCAGAAAAAAAGTAATAAAAATTTTTATAATAGTAAAAATAATAAAGAAGAAATACGTATTTCCAATCGTCAGAAAAAAAATCTGAAACAAAAAAACAAGCCTATTTTATTGCAACAAGTTTTTAAAAAACCCGATTCTATTGTTAATAGAGATATTATAATTAATGGAACTATTTCTGTATCTGATCTTTCTAATAAAATGGCTATAAAAAGTTCTGAAGTGATTAAAACTATGATGAAAATTGGTGTTATAGGTACTATTAATCATATCTTAGATCAGGATACAGCTCAGTTAATTGCAGAAGAAATGGGTCATAAAGTTACTTTGCATAGAGAAAATGAATTAGAAGAAATAATTATGCAAGATCGTGATATAGGTAATAATATTTTTACTGTAAGATCTCCAGTAGTTACTATAATGGGACATGTTGATCATGGTAAAACATCATTATTAGATTATATTCGTTCAACAAAAACCGCTTTTCATGAAGCTGGAGGAATTACACAGAATATTGGTGCATATCATGTGAAAACTGATTTAGGTTCTATTACTTTTTTAGATACACCAGGTCATTCAGCTTTTACTGCCATGAGATCTCGTGGAGTAAAAATAACTGATATTGTTGTTTTGGTTATAGCAGCAGATGATGGTGTTATGCCTCAAACGATTGAAGCGATTCAACATGCAAAAGAAGCTAATGTTCCAGTAATTGTAGCTATTAATAAAATTGATAAAATAGATTCTGATATTGATAAAGTAAAAAATGATTTAATGAAATATAATATTCTTTCAGAAGAATGGGGTGGTGAAAATATATTTGTATCTGTTTCTGCAAAAACAGGCAACGGTGTAGATCAACTATTAAATGCAATTTTACTTCAAGCAGAAATATTAGAATTAAAAGCAGTACCTACTGGTATGGCAGAAGGTGTCGTTATTGAATCATTTTTAGATAAGGGTCGTGGACCAATAGCTACTGTATTAATTCAAAAAGGTACTTTAAAAAAAGGAGATATAATACTATGTGGCTTTGAATATGGTCGTATTAAAGCTTTACGTGATCAAACAGGAAAGGAAGTCTTGTATGCAGGACCTGCTATGCCAGTAGAAGTTTTAGGACTATCTAAAGTTCCTTTTTCAGGAGATAACGTTACTGTAGTCCGTGATGAAAAAAAAGCAAAAGAAGTAGCTTCTTATAGAAAAGAAAAATTTCGTGAAAGAAAGTTATTAAATGAAAATAAAATAAATTTAGAAAATATGTTTGATAGTATGAGTAAAAATAATTTTTCTGAATTAAAGATCATTCTTAAATCTGATGTACAAGGTTCTTTAGAAGCAATTTCTGGAGCCTTATTAAAGCTTTCTACAAATGAAGTAAAAGTAAAAATAATAGGATTAGGTATCGGTGGTATTACAGAAACAGATGCTTCTTTAGCTATGGCTTCAAATGCTATTATTTTAGGATTTAATGTTAGAGCAGATGCTGCTGCCAAAAAAATAATTAATTCAGAACATTTAGATCTTCGTTATTATTCAGTTATTTATGATTTAATTAATGAAGTTAAATCTGCTATGACTGGTCTTTTATCACCTGAATATAAACAAAATATTATTGGATTAGCTGAAGTTAGAAATACTTTTAAATCTCCTAAATTTGGCTTGATTGCAGGTTGCATGGTTATTGAAGGGATAGTTAAACGTACTAATCCAATTCATATATTAAGAGATAATATAGTGATACATGAAGGTGAATTAGAATCGTTACGTCGTTTTAAAGAAGATGTTAATGAAATACGTAATGGATTAGAATGTGGTATTGGTATAAAAAATTATAACGATATACGCATCAAAGATATCATAGAAGTTTTCGAAGTAAAAGAAGTTAAAAGAATATTATAAATTTAAATGTATATTTATTTTAAAAAAAATAATTTGGTAATATCATTATGGAAAAATCTTTTAATCGATCTATTCGTATAGGACAAGAATTACAAAAAAAAATATCTGTTATTATACAATATTCAATGCAAGATCCACGCATCAAAAAAATGATAACAGTTTCTGAAGTTAAAATATCTAAAGATTTGTCCTATGCTCAAGTATTTGTAAGTTTTTTAGAAAATTTAAATCAACGCAATGTTGATAAAATATTAATAGTCTTAAATAACGCTTCTAGTTATATTCGAAAATTATTATGCAAAAAAATGAGACTAAGGATTATACCGAATATTATTTTTTATTATGATGATTCGTTTTTAAAAGGTAATCATATTTCTATGATATTGAATAAATTATCAAAAAAAAATGAGAATACACTATTTTATGAATGAAAAAAGGATTAATCAATGTTTTTTCATAAAAAACGCAATGTTCATGGGTTAATATTATTAGATAAACCTTCCGGTATGTCCTCTAATCAGGCTTTACAGAAAGTAAAATCTATTTTTAATGCAAAAAAAGCAGGATATATTGGAACTTTAGATCCTTTAGCAACTGGAATGTT